AAGCGAGTTGAGAACTAGTGGTCTCCACTAGGTATGTTTACTGCCACCGTTTCTACTTAACTTCGTCACGGAAGTACTAATGGACATGAACTTAGATACCTTTGACTTTACGTAGATTGATCTACTCCCTAGAGTTCATTCAGTTGATTTAGAATGTACAGATGATATTGTCCTACTAGGCAAATACGCTGGTGAAACGTAGGATTTTCTGAACGCCTTGAGCAGAAATGTGTGTTTGTCATGCGTTTCGCACCTGTCAAATGTAAGATGATGCCTCGAGACTGGTGTGCAACGACTTCCAGCTTAGTGATTGGGAGTGAAGTATTGGAATATGTCGACCACTTCACTTAGTGCATCAACTCGAACAGACTGGTTGCTGACAAAGTCTCAGCTCAGATACAGAAAGCACGTTAAGCATTTGCTGACTTGCGTCAACTGTCTCGCCGATTGGTATACCGCGATGCAGCCCGTTCTGTCTTGTTGTACAGCTATAAGACAAGGCTTTTAAAAGTAGGGGACATAAAAGTTACAGTTTTTCGACCGTAGATGTCCTTGTAACATTGCTCACGTTTGGCGGGATCACCGTTTATTCAATTTCGAGGTCAGACAAAGGGTACCAGGCAAGACAAGTAAGTCGATTGATGAGGTTGTGAATTCTAGTCGACTGAATTGGCTTGGACATGTGCTGGCCATGACGGCTTACCGCCTACCTTGACGTGTCATGCTAGAGGAAGTTGGATTATGCTTAAAGAGGGTTCAGGTTTGTCAGACCAAGATGTGGCACCAGTCGATGGAGTCCCTGACTATTGGCTTGAGCTGTGTGGAGAGACGTAGACTACCTAATTGGGATCCACGAGACAAAAGGAATCAGTGGTTAAGGACGCCTGGTGACATGGTTGGAAATCTGTCACAATGATGCAGATGTACTTACTTCTTGGCATCTTATAAGGCTTGGATATTCACTCTAATCTTCATCTTCAAATTGATTATTATCTCACACTACTTTTTCTTTTTTGATATCACACTTATTCTATCCACCTGTTCTTTGTGTACTATCTTGAGCCGGTACATCTGTGTGAGAGGTTCTACGTTGATTTTGTCAATCAGTCAGTTTACTTGATCGTGGCTAGCAGTGTCGAGGCATCCTCATAGGAACCCATCTACTAACAGAGGTCGAGCAATTCAACGCGGTATAGCAACAGGAAGTCACAAGTATCAACAAAAAACAACTGATACTCGCTACACAAGAGATGGCTGTCATGCCTGAATGGACCAGAAGGATAACGCCTCGGCATTTAAAGCTATGGGTACTGGGTTCGATACCCAGCAGAAACACTACCACTTGGTGGGGTGCATTCAACTGATGGGTCTCAAGTAGGGTGAAACGCACGTCCTGGGCTTAACTGCTAGCCCCTAAGTAAACTACAACACAAAGCCTTATTTTAGTATTTTTATTCCCTAGAATGTCGTTAACTTCTTATATCTTGCATTAGCCCTCTTCAGATTTAGGTGTACTGGCTGATTTCCGAATGGATTATTTTAATCGCTGATTTTGAACTAGAGCTATTTGTATTTCTATGCTTCATGTACTTTCGCAATAACATAGAAGCGATAACCTCAATACTACTAATTTCAGTATTCATATTAAAGTCATAGAAGTTGACGGTTCATGAGGATAGCTTCAATAATGTTGCCTTCCCTAGTCTATGAAATGCACATACTGTGTGACGTCTATAAGTGAGATCTAGCTGCTTTACGTTCCGTAGATGAAAGAGTTTGCGGCTATGAGCCACTGGTTGAATGTCACGTGAAAAAAAGAGTCGAATCATCGGTCGTCTGTTCTGTAGCCTAGATGGTTCAATATTGAGGCACTTCCCATCAAGTTAGACAATTTCAAGGACAATTGGAACGCTAGGCCACTTCGGAAATGCATATCCTGAAAATTTCATAATATGAAAAGTACGTTTGTGGCAACTTAGGTGAGGCATACTGTTAACAGTAAATTGTCTTGATATATGTTATAGAATAAAATGGAATGCCGTTATGAAATTGGATTACTACCTGAGCCTGTTTGCCTTCAAACCCACAATAAGATTAAGATGGATGTATAAGAACATTTAAAACCATGGATTCACATGAATCGTGTAAAGTACTGAGACTAGCCAAAAGTACTGAAACGCTCATATTACTGACTGTACGTTAATATGGATAACCTGGGAACTGCATACAGACTCTAGATATAGAAAACTTTGAACGATTTTTGCACATCAACTTAATATCCACTACTAAAATGTCTGCTGAGAATATTTTTCAATTGCACGCGTAAACTGTGCTCTAAAGAGAAAATTTAGGAATAACTGAATAATGTTGAACACTGTCTGAGCAAAAATTATTACCCAAACAAGTTTATTGATAAGTGCCGCAGGACAGAAACGAAGATGACCAAGCGTGATACGGTTGACAAGAAGCCCGTCTGTCTACACCTCATTTTTAAATAGGATGAAGTTACCCCACGGATGAATCAGTCTGAGTGCCGCACTGAAAAAGATCTATCCAGCCGCTAAAACTGTGTGTACCAGACTAAATACTCATTGAGACAATCCAAAGTTAAAATGAGTTCCCTAATTCTTGTTTCCTCTAACTATATCTATCATTTCTTACATACGTGACAAACCACATGTATTGGGAGAACAGATGGAAGAGGTCTTGTTCGCATCCCTGAAAACACCCAGAAGAATTTGAGTCTTATAGGTCCAAAATGGTGAAAATAGCACGACGGCTCTAGATACCGCTGCACAATATTTCAAGAATGAAATGGACGCCTATTTTCATGTGATCAGAATCAAAACTACCTTTACTTCAAGTGTTGCTTTAAAAGTCACTTTAGTAACATTTGAAATAATCAATTACTGTCCTATTTTGTAAGGAAATACCTTCCCAATCGAAATTTCAGGATCCAATTGGTTGTCTCAGCAGTTGCCAGGGTGGTTTAAGTCGGGTGACTTAATGACACCCTAGCAACAGCAAAAAGAACCAGACTCCTGAATTTAATGAAAATCTACCTGGAAAAGTACTTTTCCACAAAATAAAGCAATTGATTGGCCGTCTACATCAGTTTTTAGGGTGGTCCTTAAAGACTCCTTTAAAATCGTTCCATTTTCGGGCAGCTTTAGAGTGATTTTTAAGGCCACCCTAGCATCTGATGTAACAGCTAATCACGTTTCTTTATCCCATGAAGAACTGCCTTCCAAGCAGAAGTACTGCAACCTGATTGGTTATTTTGGGAGTTGTTAGAGTGGCCTTTAAAGCTGACCACTTTAAACACCACCCTGGTAACGATTGGAATAACCAACTAGGTTTCTTCGTTTCGGCTGCAAAAGCCAGATTTCGGGCGACTTTAAAATCCACCCTAGAAACAACTGAAATAACCAATTAGACTTCTATCTCATGAGAATCTGCCTTCCCAGCAGAAATAGAGAAGCTTGATTGGTCATCCCGATTGTTGCTAGGGTGCCTTTTAAGTCACTATCATTTTCCCACTTGCCCTGGAAACAATTAAATCCAGTAACAGGATCTGAAAATCAGTTGATCAAGCCTTCATTATACAGTATGCCAAATAACTCACTGAAATGAGCAAATTACGGCCAAGGCAATAGCATATACGCGCAAAAGTACATCGAACCTCTGTAGCCTTAGGTCAAATAGACTTCACACAGTCGAACGACTTTAAATCCATCCTAACAACGATCTAAATAACCAATTAGACTTCATTTCGTCTAGAAAGGCAGATTTTCATAAAACACAGAAGTCCGATTGATTTTTTTCAATTGTTGCTTGGGTACCTTTAAGATCACTCTAAGGTCGTCTCCATCCTGTTACTTTCGGGCGAATTTAAAGGATAACCTGGAAAGGCAGACTGTCATAAAATAGAAGTCTAATTGGTTATTTTAGTTGTTGATAGGGTTGGCCTTTAAAGACATGCGTTACCTTCGCAGTCTGTTTCTCAAATTAAGTACACGGCCTTATTTTCACAAACAAAACAATGAATATTAGTATCGTGATTCATTACAGTTATTTATAACCCCAGAGCAAGTTGATCCAGTTGTTTCTACTTTGATAGTATTATTTTCATTTCACCAATTGTATCAGTATTACCTCAAAGCGTTCTTTAAGCTGAAATACACGAGGCTTCAGATAATTGTCGTACCAACTGACTTTCCAAGTAGTATGTCGCGGTTCAGCCACAACAATTCGATTCCACAATCTATAATACTGAATGTTTAGTCACAAACTAGGTGTGCCTTGCACCGGCTATTATGCCACAGTAGTGAGACCGTCTTATAAATACTGGGTGGGGATTGAAAGAGAAACAGAAACCTGGGTAACAATAGTATCCGCACCAGTAGTGTCCAGGTTACCGGCCAGCTACTCTACATCAACTGAGAGATGAAATGTAACTGCTGACCAAATCACTGAAGTTTGTACGCCTGATTTCCGTGCGAATGCGAGATAATACGAAAACATTCAAGGATGCATAAGGGAAGAAAATTATTGAACACTGTTATTTTCTCTTGATTTAAAAAAGTGAACAACAATAGACTTGTCACAGCTTGCATACTGACTGTTGGTTTGAGCCCTACAGGGAGGATGTAGGCTACTTGACCAGGGTCCCGACACGATAAAAATCAGTGGTTGAGTAATCTAGACGACATGGCTGAAAATCGGTTCCAATGGCACAGATGTATTCATTCCTTCAAACATTCCTGTCGTACAACTTTGTCTACATTGTCGTCAGTCCTTTTTTGTCTGGTCGTTCTTTGTATACGACTGAGGAAGGTGGCAACTAGAACCGATGCACTTGTGTGTGCGAGGTTCTAAGCTAATTCCGTCCGTCATTACACAAGTTATGCAGTTTACGGATCCAGAGGTGAAATAGGCAAGGAGAACGAACAGCCTCACAAACTAAGCTAAGGGTGCGAAAAACACCAACAACAATAATAATATACCAAGAAGACATGTATTTTTTTTTACTGCTACAGAACTGTAAACTTGCAGATGGTGATTGTAATCAGGTACAATAAAGGGAACAGTAAAAAAAGAAGGACTTGAGCATTGTAAAAGTAGTACTATGCAGTGTAATGTATAAAAAGAATCATCATAATGAAACGAAAATGTACACACACTTACACACACACACACACACACACACAATGAACTTTCCACCAGACGACACCACACTCACTGCTCTAAGCTGACGAAGATAACTAGATTTATGTATTTTTTTTAAAAAAGGCGGTAGAAATCAATCGTATTAAAAATAGGAGTAGTATGTAGGATAATGTAAAAGTCTCTACAAAATATGGGAAAGATGAAGTTATTATGTTATATAAAAGCTGGAAGACGAACGATTTCAATCAAAGGCAAATAAAATTGTTTTAAAAAAGAAACAGTATATAAAATACTCCCATGTGTAGGCTCACTTACACAAATCAGAATTTGAAAGGTTGGAATAAAACACAAAAATCCAAAAACATGAGATAGGTAAACAGTAAAAAGTTGAGCATTAGGTGTTGTTGCGTATAGTATTGATTAAAACAGACTAAACTTCATCATTCCTAAATTCCTAATTCATGGAAAAGATGTAGTACAACACACACACATACAGAAACTATACATAGTTTGGTGGTATACCAGCTCCATCTTTTAATGGTTCTTTTTCTAAACTTTTCTGTGGTGTATTATCCACCGAAAAGACATTATCAATGTAGTGTTCATATAGAGCCATAACGATTTCAGATGTAATCACATCTCCTGCATTAATTGCTAACATACGTATTAGAAATACACCATCACGACGTAAATAATCATCAATGAATTCATCTAAATCAGCACGTGTAATCTCAGTTCCTGTTCTTGAACGAATTCCTTTAATACGTAGAAAACGCTTTATGAAATCTTTACGTCTTGGTGCAATAATCATTCTTACCAACCATAATAACAGACTGAAGATACTTGCAGCAATTAAGAAACAGATCCAAAACCAGAAAAAGATGTAAATTTTTTCGTTCAACATATTAATAGGTAGGGCACACTGAGCAGTATATGCGTTCTCAGAACCGACTAGTCGGATTCCTGGTACACGACAGTAGGCTACACGTGGGAATAAGATCGTCTCCGGCCAATCACGTCCAGCACGTATGTGATTAGCAACCGTTAAACCAAATCCAAAACCTTCTAGATCTTCGTTTTCATGGTTTGACATGGCAGCAACTGCAAGGAGGGAAAACTCATTGTAACGGCAGTATAAACGCATACAGTATACAAATACACGTCAAATGTACTATACATATCACACATTTTTTAAAGTAGTATTCACCACGGACTGTCATCAATTAGTGAACCATTGAAAACCTGGGAGCACTGAACAGCTGTTCCATCCCATGCGACTTCTCAGTGGTGCACGCCTACGACCCCGCCAGGGATCGAACTCATGACCTTCAGGTTTCACGGCGAATGCGTTAACCATTTGGCCCCTGGGTCAGAGTCCTATACCCACTGATATATTCAATGATCAACTCACGACATAGTACGATTATCCACTAACGTCTTCAGTTGGCATCCATTTCACTTTCAACTGGGTGATTCCATGAATCACGGCTTCTCAACAGAACTCCAGGTTATCCATCCCGAAGCACTATGGTGCTCATTAGAGACATGGATGCATACTGTACAGGAGTCCCATACCAGCACGCAACAGCTGTCGAGTCTCCCTAGGTTTTCAACGCTTCTCCAACTGATGTCAATGAGCAATGAATACTATCTTAAAAATAAAATCCCCATAAACCTCAAGCTACATATATTTATTTACCTCAGGTATGGGGATTTCATCTTATCCACATACTGGAGTGAAACAGATCACCTGGAAATCCTAGTACATCTTTATGATAGAAAACTGTTAACAGCTAGAGGATCATGTTGCATCGCTCTACAGAAGTTGAAAAATTCCAACTTGCAAAGTTCCTAACGATTTTCAAAAAAAGTGAGTTATGATACTGTTACATTACCGTGGATCGGGTCCTTGTACTTCACCGGGTCGATTTTCTGATTAGTTGATCATTCCGCTAGTGGTGTTACGATGGCACCCAATATTTCTTTGAGATAAGAGATAGACGTATCCCGATTGCAAAATTCAGTCTGCTAGTAAGAGTGAGTAAGGTCTTAAGAATACCGACTTAACACTGTTTCTGAACAACTGGTTTACAAAATCAACACCACTTGCTTCATATTGCTGAGTCTGGACCCCAACAATTTCATCTGAAAAGAGAATGGATGTGCTACTAGAGGTAAGTGGTGTTTGCTTTGTAGTTGATACTGGTTTGATAAAAGCAAACGAAAACCTACGAATTTCGCTAGTGATATAACCAAATCACAATCACATAATTCAATTGTACTAATCTGAGCATTTATAATATCTTTCATAACTGCATTACCACTCACTTGCAGCATTAGCCTCGTATGGTTTGCCTAGCTGCATGCTTCGTTGCCCAGCACTGCCATCAGCATAAAATCCAAGAAAACGTTGAATAAGGTATACTTGCAGAATGGCATTGATAATTGTGATTAATTTGACGCACAGATAGGAAAATACAAGACATGTACCAAGACGTTTGCTTACTACACATATTCCACACATATCATATGCACGTCTAGTTATATTCATTCGACGACCCTATAATGAAAAGATAGAAAATTAATTGAACACATAATAACAGCTAAATGCTACACGAAGAAATTTCCTCAGAACATAGTTGAATCTTAAACGTTTTGAGACTTACTGCCATGATATTTTACGTTTAGAAGGTAATTCAAAGCTTTCATTATGGTTTAATTCACAACATAGGGATAAAGACAAGGGCTTATTCCACCCGAACTGTTTACGCACTAACGAAGTGAAGTAGAATCGAACTGTTACTCTATCTTTTGAGCGTCTCACTAAAGTAAAATGAAGATAGTTAACTGTCTTTTGATAAGCTTACACAAATATCTTTATGCATAAGTTCACACTGATGAAACACTTATCACTGTTTTGTTAGCTGTAAAACAGTATAACATCAAAAATGAAGCAAAAAAGAGACGCGTTTATTGCTGAATTGTAATCATGGTAGAAACGTCACCACTTTTAGAATGTATCTCTTTTGAAGGCTATTATTCACAGTTCGAAAGTGTTTTAGACAATTCAGCGACAAATTTACGAAGTGATCTCTTGATAAGTGCTACTTTACTAATTTTCATCTTTCCTTTCAAATAGACAACAGAATGCTTTAGTAGTCTAAGGTTTGGCATCAAGTCAAGTACATCAGAGTGGAAAAGTGTAGACCGCAAATAAACTGCAAGCCATACACAATGGTTCACACTGAAGATAGAAAATGAATTAGATTAGGATGATGTTAGATCAGCGCACAAAAATCAACAACAGAAAAGTGTGTGAATAATGTGATAGGATTAGTGTATTCACACTGAATTGCTTAGAGGACAGGAGTCATAACAATTAAATCAGAAACATATTAAACAACCGGCCAATTGATCAGATTTGCCACTACAACTATAAAACTTAAAGTCATCTGACGAATACTGTCATTATGATAAGAGTTACTGTAGACTTTCTCTAAAATCTTGATTTTAGCAACTACCGAAATGACTCGATTAGGTATTCCTTCCAACTAATACGGAAACCTAACCGCTCACGACAGTAATTGTCAGGAAGGCTTTAAAAATCACTCTGGATGCTAGCAGTTAGTCACGTAAGTCATATACTGAGTTGTAACTCGAATGAGCATCACCTTAGAACAGAACACACCATGAACACAAATGTGGGGGAACCAAGTATAAAATAAAGTAGTGAACCTACTGAAAGCCCAATTGAGTGATTGCTTTGCATCCCTTCTTGATGAAGATACTAATGCGAACTCACTTATTCATGACAGACGGAACGAAAAATGGTATGTAAGTATGGTGCTGAAAGAGCAACTAAAACCACTGTAGTTTGTTGACCCATTCTATGTACATACGATATTAGTTTCAAAAATACAACTATTAATCTTCGATGAGAAATCAAGAGAAATATACACACTGTAGCACTTGAACTTCATTCATACACGTTTGTAAAGTTGACTGCTTACAACACAATATTACATATTCAACTAAAATACATTTACAGGCGATTGACCTACGGTGATAAACCCAACGGAAGCACTTTTGTTGACCTAGTAACCACACAACATATGAAACAAGTGAATAATCCATACAACCTGGTTTAACAAAACAGGAAATTCAAAGTTACACATTGACTGGTCACAGGAGAGTAAACAATCTCATGTTGTCTAGTCCTACATGCTAACCGAACTCTATTAATCATTTTAAAATTTAGTCACCAAGCTGGGAGGCTGTTTAATAGATGTTAGTTGGTTGGAGGCAATCGGCATGAGACCTCGTTTTACCTAGGCTTAGTGCTTGTTGGCACTCGACAGCAAAGTATATTTGTAACCTCAAGGGAACTGATGACCCCTGTGAGATTTGAACCTGCATCACCCAGTGTTACAGTCAGCGACAGTGAGCTTACTAGCTTACTGGACGCATTGCTAAATGATCGATGGAAATCGCTCACCTTTCAGGACTACACAACATGAGATTATTTGTTTTCCACTGACCAATCATTGTATGTGATGCAGTCCTACAGGAGATCAGTCACGACCCGGATAGCTTAAAGGTAATGTCGTTGACACAGGGTCGAGTCTCAGAGGAGACATCAGTTCTCATGAGGTTGCAGATACGCCATGCTGACGAGTGCGAATAACCGCAAAACATAGATCCATGGCTTCTTGACAGTTGCCTCCAACCAACTAACCTCCAATTTAAAGTTATAAATGATGATTTAAAAGTCGGATATTAATATTATGAACATCCCCAGTCAAGAATGACAAATCAAGTATTTCACAGTCTTGTAGCAGTTGACTGAAAAATTCATTGGAATAGTTTCATCTTATTTAGGACTTAGTTAATTAAATAACTGCACAACAATCATAGTAAATCTAGGGACCAGAGATAAACACATCATCGTGATTCATGTGGCTGATGAGCTCTGAAAAGGATGAAACGCCAGTCACATACGAGATTGTTAGCTACAACATTAAATAGCATGATGCATTTCAGATAGCAATAAAAAAGTAAGTGCACAGGTTTCTAATATTTCAAAAACTCAAAACAACTGAGTTTAGCACACAAACTGACAATCTTAAGTTTTCAGTACTAAGATAACAGTCACTATCCATTTAAGTGAATGGCTTACCGAAGTCGTGAAAGGAAGGGGAAATTAGGCTTGGAATAGCTGTACTCATACTTACATGTTACTGCTTATCATGCTCATTTGGTCGATGAGTATTCGGAAATGTTTAATTCTAGGTTTTGATGAGTTTACCATTTAACAGTTAGTTTGTTGGATCCATTCATCTTCTTACATCGCCCAAGTGAGTTAAAACTGAACTAGTAACAGATATCATTTCTTTTCCAAGTACTTAGACAACCTCATACAAGTCAACTACACAAAACAAGAGGATATTTGAAAGATTTCTATGAGAAGCATACTAAACAGAAAATTTCGTATTATGATGGTGTTATGTTCTCTGAGTTGGACTTTTTGAATTATTATTCTAAACAACACCCTCAGTACAAACTTAAGAACCAAATGAGAATAACTAATCGAAATGCGTATGGAGACAATGATACGCGACTTTAGCAGAAACAACCTATAACACCCTAAGTCACTGGGATAGGCTACTGAACCAATTGTGGAAGAAATCACACGGCTCTTTTCGTTCTGAAGTTTGTGCTGATGATGTTGTCTAGAATGACAGTGAAAGCTTCACGATTAAACTATCCAGCTAAAAGAACACAACACCATCAAAATCATCCTCCAGAGCTATAAATACTCTCCATCATCTCATTTCATGTTATGTTACTTATATCACAATTTTATATTCACGGAACAAAATACTGAACGTTAGGGCGTAATAAGTTTTGCGTTCGTCTAATTCCCCCAAGACCTCTATTGGTAGATGAGCTCGTAGGCAGGTGCCACCACCAAATGAACCACAACACAATGAATATTCAAGAGATACCGAGGCATCCGGATAGGAGCCCATCTGCCAACAGATATCGAGCAAGTGTTAATTAACTATTCCAATCTGTCTAGTTTACTGATCCCGTTATAAAAAAGTTTACAAATTCAAAGTATTTGTGCACTTTTAGTGGTGAAATGGAACAGATCTCCCAGGTCACATTGCACAACAATGGATTTTTAATTTTATTCGTCATACTGGATTTAGTATTTTCTCATTCCTCCGTTATCTTATCACGACTCTCTAACACTTTTCACTGCATTCTTCTCTGTTTATATATCTTTCATCTTAATGCTTTCCCGTTTTATGTGCTGTTATGAAGTGTGGCAACGTGGATCACTACGTGACACTGGCCTGGTCTTACGCTGATAGCACACATAAATCACTGTCCTACACACTGTATGATGGCAATAATGACTCTTCCACCTTTTATCAGTTTAGTTCTCTATACAGCAGATATAAGATCGACATCTCTGGTTGCATTTTCTCCCAAACATTAGGAGTTTCGCTGCTTCACCACACCGTTTAGTCAACATCCTTTCATTAAATGCCAGGAGAAATCTAGAAGAAAATAAGTGCAGGTCAATTCTTTTTTGGTTAGTATTAGTTGTACTTCCATAGTGTGCCAGAAGTGGTAGTAAATATGTCTTATTAAAGCTTAATGCGTAGATGTATTTATCAACAAGTCTTCCATGTGTACGAAAGATATCCATCACCATATGAAAGAAAAACGAGTATTTCAGCGAAGTCTTAATTTACAGAAATCTGAATGGTCGACTGGCGAACTACCATACTGGGTGCACATGAGTCGCAAACAAAATTTGGAGTCCCGATGTGTTGAAAGAGAAAACTTTTGCTCAGAGGAACATTTTGATTGGAAATGGATTCACACCAAGCTTCATCGACAAAAGTACCAACCTAAAACCTCGCGAAGTCAGGTCCCCCTATGTCAAGAATCTCGTCAATCAAAGTCATTTATAAAGTGGAAAGTAACTTTTCAAAAGTTGAATCGCTTCATATTCTCTCCATCGCCGACGCTTTTGTCACCCATATGGAGGAACCTGAGCTTTGTACGCAAAAGAAAACTGTTCGACTTCACCTCGCTTTTTACACTGTTCCCTTTTCTTCCGTGACTTACTATCCATTCTTATTTCTATATTGTTTCTGATCACACTTCAATTCCCAAATATCTTGTCGTTACGAAACCTCTTAGCTAAACTTAGTAGTGATGGTTTACTTGGTTGTGGCTAGCAGAGAAATCCAAGACGCATGTTCTATCCTATTTGGGACTCGTCAGTTGGATGTACCTCCACTCCAGTGAGTGTTGTTCCCACTGAGACTCAAACCTTATACCCATCGTTTCAGACGCCAGGATGTTATCCACTAGACCACTGAAACACGACAGCCACCTCTTGTACAACGGGTATTAGTTATTATTATTTGCTGATATACATGTAATTCTCCGTAGTTATACTAGATTCCTCTGCTAGTCACAGTCAAGTAAATTACCTTAATAAACATTCAGGCAATATCTGGGCGCATTTGCACAGGAGTTCATGTACCAACAGAGGTCGAACAATTCGAACAAAGAAGAATTGCAAGTATACCAACGAATAGTAGCAAACAGTAACCTTTTTACAATTCCAGTCACTATTCATCACAGTTTCTTTTATATTTGTGACAGCTCACGTACCGATACTATTTTTGTTTTCATGTCTCACAAGCCGCTTTAACTATTAAACCTTAACACACGAAAAATATATATATTTGGGATTGTGCAGTCTGGAGAAAATGGAATCGTCGGAGAGACTCTTCGCTAAAATACTTGTTCTCCTTTCGAATCTTCTATACTTGTGGTTAAATTACATAAGATCCAATTTGAGGTAGTCGGAGTAAGTTGTGAAGGTAAGCAAAAATTCAATTATTCTCACTTCTTACAATTGAATGAATAATGGGAATGTAGGCAAATATGAGTTTTAATCTATTAAATTCATAAAAAAAACTCGGAGGCTTAAGCCACAGAAACGTTTAACTAACTGTCAGGTTATGGATACAAAAAAAGTTACTGAGACAAGAAAAACAGTCATCACTGAGACAGAATGTGCGAAAATGGGGTATGTCTGTTTGTGACTCATTGAATGAATGTGAGATGAACACGATTCCGAATATTACTCATACAGTCTCATTAGTTAGTGGATTCATGTATGCTTCAAAAGTACGAATAATTAGATGATTGGATAAGTAGAAACTGAAGTGTAACAAATCCAGTGGGTCAGCAAGCTAATAATGGAATATAAATTCAGTTCAAGTATGAATATCCGTTCAGATAATGCACAGTAGTTAGGATTTCTTGCCTGAATTGAATTGCACTCATCAACGTTGTGCAGTAATCAATCAGCCACACCTATTGTGTGACGGCTAATGACACTACATGGCTATTGACTAATACCGACTGAGTACAGTATAGATACCCCGAACACCTGGAATGGAATTCAGAAGTTTTCTTTATCGCATACACATAATCTGAGTAACTGTTGTAATCTAGTCCTTTATACGTTTCTTAGTTCATTTATCGAATATTTAAAGATCAACGCAATTTGAAGCCACCTAAGTGCTTTAAATCTTTTTTTCCTTGAAACTACTCAGAAGATAGTCTGGACGAATCATCAGACATATTTTGACTGTAATGATGACTGGCAGCATGTCGACGGGTTACTATTAATGAAGTCAGCAGGAGAAGAACCAAAAAAATCTCTGTGAATCTGCAGGAAGTGAGGTAACGTTTGTGAAATTTCACCAATCGCCAGGGAATTGTATGACTACACAGTCTTCAGAGAGTGGCTTCTTCAGCTATTTACATTAAGAAATGTGAGTGGCGTGTGTATGATGTTGTAAACCAAAATTTACTGACATCTTCACACACATGACCGTGTGAATTCAATAGCCGATGCAAAAGAAATAAGTTTAAAGATAATCACAGATTACTCAGAACAAGAGTAATCTAAGTGGACAATCGTTCCTCTCTAACTTCTTCTTCAGGCTCTACAGTTATAAATCCATGAGAATAGGTGAAATACAATACAGCGTAAAATTATTTCAATATCGAAACAGTGTTATGAGTAAATGGAGATCAAATCAAATGGATGTTGGCACTTCATCAGGTGGAATAGTAATCAGTCTAGTATGTTAGTTCTGCAATGAAATTAATATGGGTAAAACCATTACGATATAAGGAGACGTTATCCATAGCCGAAGCTACAGGAATCAACACAAGAAAACTTGATCAGCGTGTTCAAAGGAAATATGTGCATCCACTTTGTCTACCTTGGCGCACAACAGGATCAACACATTCTTTATGAATTATTCTACCACAGATATAAAATTTTAACACACGCCCTTTTCTTCTAAATTTTCTCTCTTATTTCATTGTGATAAGCATTCATTTTTGTATGAACGTTGCCTGACCAACGATGGACTGGATGGTTTGAAAAAACTGCATCACCAAGTTAGTAGGATTCATCGTATACGGTGTATTTACTTGTGTAATCCCGGTGCAGTATTATCAGAACAAATCACAAAATATTATGTATTATTCCTCAACGTTCCCACTTGCTCGGAAGATTCTTTACAAGATTGTGAATTTGACAGTAAGTCATCGGGTTAATAGTTAAGTTTGGTACAGAAAGTGACCTTTGTGATCATCCAATTACATCGTTATATGGAACAAAGGACAATATAATATGCGGGGGGGTTGTTAAGAAAATGGGTCAGAGAGGCAAATAAGGTGGAACAAAGTAGGATAGGGAAATTTAGTATATCATTGAAAAGTTTGTGCACTGCGGAATGGAATAATGTGTTCTAAGTTTTTTAATGCAGTTTACACACAATGACAAGTTCGACCACTTTTTGTGCCCTTGTTTATTCATACGATTACCACCAGTCAGCCTCAAACTCTACGTAAAACTTCATATTTGTCATCTCGTTACTGTATTAACTTCTCACTTTACTTGAATGTAACTCATCGCTACATATAATGACGGTTTGGTTCTTAGTAAACAAACACACACGTACCTCATGCAGATGCATGTAAGTGAATCACCACCTCCAGATTTAACTCTTTATATCGTAATGGTTTTACCCATATTAATTTCATTGCAGAACTAACATACTAGACTGATTACTATTCCACCTGATGAAGTGCCAACATCCATTTGATTTGATCTCCATTTACTCATAACACTGTTTCGATATTGAAATAATTTTACGCTGTATTGTATTTCACCTATTCTCATGGATTTATAACTGTAGAGCCTGAAGAAGAAGTTAGAGAGAACGATTGTCCGCTCAGATTACTCATGTTCCAAAGTATGCTTCACTTATCATTTGTATTGTGCCTTCAACGCGGAAACAGATACATTCACTAGTTCAATCATTCTTCCAGAAACTACATTTCGACAGGATACACAACTTAAGCTAGGTCAAATAATTTTCCGTAATATGCTACAAGAAAATAAAGTGTAGTAAACTGAATGAAGTGCCGAATGTGCCAAAAAAAAATAATGAAGGCTGGTATGATGTGGTGAGTTGACACCCAACAAACAGTACAACATGATTTTACACACTTACATGTCGGCAGTCTTTGTGACCATCAATCATGTCTTCCAGAAACTCAGCAACACGTTTTACTTGACTCTTACGAGATCCACGTTCAGAAATTGCTGCATCTGCAGCCGCTTTCACAAGAGCAAAAAGGTCTCCACCTGACCGATGCGCACAAACTGCTTGCCATGCAATATGTGGGATGTAGAAGAAAATACATTGAAGACCAAGAACAAAAGGAACCCATTGGTAATAAGCTGTAGATTAGAAAGGTATAAGCGTTAAGGAGTAAGATTACCACTAATAATAATAATATATAAATAGCAATAATGATAGTAGTAATGCTTACTGTTATCATCTTAGTCGATGACAGTGGTCACTTCCGGTCTGACAAGGACACACAAAGACTTCGACGATGAAAATGGAAATCAACAATATTGCAATATAGGCTGTAATTCTAGATAGATAGTGATACAAAACATATAATGGATGGATCGAATACGTACTGAAAAGTCAAATCTTCAAACTTAAGGGGCCAGTAGTTAATGCTAAAACTACTCACTTGAGGAAAAAGGCATCATCTCTGTAGAATATTGAAGGCATTGGAAATATCTACAGCCGCATGAATCGGCCCTTAGCATACAGCTGCCTAGTTCTTGGTGATCGTAGCATTGCTCACGTTTGGTGGAATCCCCATGAGCGCAATGTTGAAGTCAGACGGAGGGTACTAGGAAAGACAGGCAATTCGATCGATTAGACTGTGAACCTTCCACTTACTGAGATGGCTTCGACATGTACTGCGCATGCCAACACACCACCTACCTCGACGTGCCATTCTAGACGAAGTAATATTAGGTTGGAAGGCTCAGGGAGGTCAGAACAAGACGTGTCCCCAGTCGATGAAATACCTCATTCTTCGTCTGAGCCGTGTGGGAAGATGTAGACTGGCTGGCTGGGGTCTGCGTGACGACAGGAATCAGTGGTTGAGGAATCTTGGTGATATGGCCGAAGATAGGTCACAATGGCGCAAATGTATTCACTCTTTGGCATCTAAGGCTTGAATATGTGCACCAACCTCTACCTTCAAACTCTTTATTCTCTCGCACAACTTTGTCTACTTTGACATTAGTTTTTTTGTCCGGTTGTTCTTTGTATACGACTGGGAAACGTAACAACTAGAACTAATACACTTGTGTGTGCGAGATTCTACTTTGGCTTTGTCTGTCTCAGTGATCAACGTCAACCGACCAGCCTTCCAATTTAGCCACTAGGCTGCGTAATGAGACACTGTGGTACAACGTATTTTGGTACATGCTAGGAATAAACCGGCAGGGAACTCCTGTTGTTCTGTTTTATAGACAGTAAGGGGTCGAAACCATTGGTATGATAATGGTTAGTTATCCTCCTAGAAAGGCAAATAGTAAGTACGCAATCTCATACCACAGAAGTTCACGCACGCTCTCATGAAAATAACTACGTCTTCAATTTTGGCTATGACCTCGAGAGGATAGCATTTCACACTGCTTTACTGCTGATACCAAATGGGGATAAGAAAAGGCTTTTTGTGGATAACATGAAATCCTCTTATAACGACAAAACATTTTGTCAAAACCATATGACGAATACGCCAATTAAGCACAGAGTGCATTAACATGAGAACTCAACTGTTGACGGACAGAAATAATACCCATCAGCAGTGCTCGTTAGCCACCTCAAAGTGGTCCAAACATCATGCACAACTCCATCGGCACTCAAGTTTCCTCAGACTGCTATCCACCTTCCCCGTTATTACCTTCTAATCTTCCTTCACGTCTTTCAATTAACAACACTACATCATCTTCAATTTCTTCTAGCTTTGCGGCCTTCGACAACGATCTGAATCTACAGAACAGCATCCCTGGTCTTCTTAAACCACGCTCCAAATTACATATTGGAGCCTTCAATGTCTGCATCCTCCGTCAAATTGGTCAACAGGCATCACTGGCCAGAAATCTAGCAACTCGGGGCATGGATGTGTGCTGTGTTTGTAAGACACGCATACAGGACCCAAACGCGGTTATTCACCTAACCTCTCCCGAACAACCCGATGAATCTGCGAAATTCACCCTTCGAGTCTCCGGAGATTCGACAGCTAGCTCTCGTGGTCTTGCAGGTGTAGGCGCAACATTAAGCACTAGGGCAGAAAGCTCACTATTAGACTGGATCACAGTTGGTGGTCGCCTCTACGATGTCCGGCTGAACGGCTCAGTGAGAACTAAAAGCAACAGTAAAACTCGCCGTTGTCTCTTTGTAATCTCTGCTTACGCACCCACTAACTGCAGTTCGGATGAAATGAAGGATGAGTTCTACCATAAACTGTCTAGCCTCCTCTCGAAAGCCAAACGCTCGGACGTGGTGGTTATTGCAGGTGATTTCAATGCACAAGTGAGTAGACTGAGGGGGGCAGAAAGGCAATTAAGTGGCCATTTCGGAATCCCGGCTGAACGAACAGATAACGTTGGTCGCCTACTACAGCTGTGCTCGGATAACCACTTATTTTTAGTTAGCATAAATTTCGGACACAAAGAAAGACACTGTCTAACGTGACGTCCACCAACCTCAACTCAGCGATGGACACAGAGACCACATTGCTATTAGTCATCGCTGGAGAGGATCGGTGGAAAACTGCCGCTCCTTTTGGAGTACGTGTTTGGATGGCGACCACGCGTTGGTCCGAGCACGTATATGCCTGTGCCTTAATGGACGTAGGAAATATTTTGCAACAAAACCACTACGAGTGCAGCTCGACAAGGAAAACACCAAAGCCGTGTTCAGTGAGTTGGTTAAGCAGTTATCGGGACAGAAGACTGTCACTTATCCAGAAGAAGCTTGGTGCCATCTCCAGTCTGCTGTAAAAGCAGCGTTGAAGACGGTAGCCAACTCCAAAACAGCGGCTAAAAAGAGCCAGTGGATATCAGCAGCTTTTTCCGAACTAATGGATGCACGTGAACACTCCCTGCAGGCTCTGAGTACAATGCAGAGCGAGCACAACTAGAGAGTAGACTGCGAAAAAGTCTACGCAACGACTGCGAACAGTGGTGGGCAGCGAAGGATAAAGAGATAGAAAAGGCAGAGGCGACTGGTAACAGTAGGCAGTTGTTTAGACTTATTAAGGAAACTGGGGGGAGGTCAACAACAGTTAGTAAGACTATGGTGGAGAAGGACGGGGATGAGATTCGCTCGCAGGGGAGACGACTGGAACGATAGGAAGAACACTTTGAGGAAGAGTTTAACTGGCCTCCAGCCACCACTGCGTTACCCGCTATCCAGTCGGATCCTGAATGGAACATTGAGACAGGCTCCCCAACACTTGCAGAAGTCGAGAAAACTGTAGGTAACTTGAAGCGAGGAAGGGCGGTAGGACCAGACGGACTAACTCCTAAGGTATACAAGGATGGTGGTAAGGTGCTCTTAGTCAGGTTAACTGAAGTGTTAACTACCGTATTGGAGTCGAATATGGTCCTCTGTGAAGGATTTCAATCACTGATTATCCTAGTCTTCGAGAAAGGTGAGAAGTCCTCTTTTGATAACCACAAAGGAATCAGTCTGACGAACACAGTCCCATAATTCTTTGACGTCTGAGTGGAGCTTGGGAACAGCAAGCTTGAGAAAACCAAGCAGGCTTTAAACCCGACTGCGGGTGTATCGACCAAATATTCACACTGCCCCAGGCTCTGGAACACGGGCACGATTACCGACACTCAACCTGAAGGCGACCTTCGACTCCGTTCATCTCTGCACCGATACAAAAGGCTCGGCTGGCTGTTGCCAACTTACACCACCTATGGCACCGCAGTGATATCCGTTTGTCTATTAAGGGTAGCGTGTACTGCACAGCAGTCCAGTCTTTTCTGCTGTATGGCTGTGAAACATGGTCATTGAAAGTGGAAGACATAAGAAGGCTTCAGTTGTTTGACCACCGTTGCCCTTTTAGTATAGGCCGTATTCCGGAGTGTCACCACGTGAGTAATGCAGAAGTCAGACGTAGAGTTTTAGGGAGAAGAGGTAAATCAGTTGACACGGTTGTGAACGTTCATCGACTAAGATGGTCGGAACATGTGTTACGTATGCTTAGTTGCCGTCTGCCTCGTCACACAATGTTGGCCGAAGTAGGTCCAGGCTGGAAAAAGGTTCGAGGCGGCCAGACTAAAACATGGCATCAATGTATGAAGTATTTGACTGTTGGTTTGAGTCATGTGGGGTGATGCAGACTAGGCGGTTGGGGTCAGCGAGACAAGAAGAACCAGTGATTGGAGACTCTAGGTGATATAGCTCAGGACCGATGTCAGCGGTGCACATTATCCTCATCTTAACGCTGTACCGAACCTCACCATTTTCTCATTCTTCCTTTCTCTCCTTTTGTACTTCATATTTCTTTTAACAGAGTTTCCGCTTCTTCATCTCTCACTTCACTGTCTTTTTACTTGATGTACTGATATGAGGTGTGGCAACTCGGATCAGTACGCAGTAATGCCTGGTCCTATGCTGATGATGATGAATAGATGACAAAACCTAGATAATCTGACTTTTATATACACCTGCTGTATCAACTTAAGATCCAACTAGCTTACTCCAGCTTATCTTCACCAGTCTTAGGTTCCCTTTCTTTCGGAACGTCATTGGTGTGACTAACAGTGATCATGGAAACAATGTTTTTCTGACACTGAGGTGATATGGAAGGATACATTAAATTTGAAACACTACATTCACTGCAGTGAATTTTCAAAAACAAATCAAGATAACCTGTTACATTTCGTAGGGTATATTCTTGAGCATGAAAATCACCTTTACAATTTCGCTTCATCTACATAGTCAACAGTTGTAAACACAGCTCACCCTTCCCAATGTTACAACAGTCACCGGGGAAGGGAAACCACAAACAGGTGTCAATAGGTAAGGCTTTGTCTAAATGTTTTACAAAAACATCAAATCACATAGCCGGCATAACCTGACAGTATCTTCTTATCAAGTACTACTCAAGTTTCCTACATCCCGAAAACCATTTGATTGTATTTCTGTTTTGACTGTACTGTAAGAAACAATCTGTGGCTTATATCGGTAATTTATAAATTCCATTTTAGTCTATTTATTAGAAATTTCTCACAGTGAAACAAAATGATTTACTGGATAATGTTTCGGATAAAATTTATTGTCCATAATCATTTCCGGTAAATCCATAACTTTGAAACGTGGTTTGTGTGGCTCTAATCTTTACTTCTTAGTAAGGGTAGTAGAGCCTTCCATATATCTAGGACAAGTGTAGAATCATTTCTATTGTAAGTATTTGGTGTTGATTCGATTAACAAATATTCAGTTATCAATGAATGCAATACAATTTAACTATGACCTAGAAAGTGATGAAGATCAGCTAACAATGATTGCAAGATGGAAGTTTAGAGACCAGTGTCTATAGAAAAACTTCCCATTCGAACAGCTACTTAAAATTCAAGTCACCTCACACCATCTCAGTTTTAGCAGGCTTAGTTGAGTGTCTAAGTGATAGGGTAAAGCCCACTAGAATGACAGGAAATCTACAAGAACTTTGACACATCAAGAATACCTTGCGTCTCAATAATTAACCACCTAGATTTATAAATTCATGAAACCGAAAGAAAAAATATTAGCAGCAGTAGTTGTTGTAACACAGGTGTCATCGATAATAATCCTACTTCTAATAGTAATGGTGGTAACAGGTTTGAGCGAGAATTAAAGCCTCTGTTGTGTTACCATACAAGGAAGGTACCTCAGAAGAATTACGAAGAATTCTCAACAAAGTGGCATTTAAACCAACAAACTCGCTTAGAAACAAGCTTTGTAGGTTAAAAGATCTTACTAATCAATTTGTTTACCAAATCCCTTTCAATGATTGCAAGTCGGAATACATAGGTCAAAGTAGTCGACCAGGGTCAATCGGAGTAACAGACCATAAAAACCTAGCCAGGTCAAAAGTGATAGACCGGCTATAACTTTACACGCAATTACAGTCATACAGCAGGGCGGGATAGAGTGACAGTAGTGAAAAGTGACTTAGTTGGGTGGAGGGAGAGGTTGAAAACCGAATCTGTTTATCGAATCAACACCAAATACATTCAGTCGAAATGATTCCGTACCTGTCCCAGATATATGGAAAATTCTACTACTTATCACAAAGGAGTTAAATTATAACTATAAAAACGATGTCTCAAAGTTGCGAAGTTACGTGATATAAATATGGACAATAAATTACGTCTGAAACGTTATCCAGTAAATGATAGTTTCACTGCATGACATTTCTGGTAAAGAGACGAAAATGGAATTACAACTTACCATAGTGTTCCAGTTTTACTCCTATACTATACTCATTTATAGAAGTATAAAACCTACACTCAACCTAAATGATGATAATGGTCACTGAGCAAAAATACACAACTTTTAGCACCCTTTAAGACACGGGTACACATATACCGAGACAAACTCACACACAAATCAATCACAATGGTTAAATGATAGTACAATCTCTAATGAAAACAGTTCAATCACATTAAAAAAAGAATTGGATAAAATACTGGAATATTTAATTATGCAAAAGGTGGAGAGTAGAGATAAGAAACGATCATTTTGTGCACTCTCCGTAAACATACAGAAATTGTACGGAACTAACATACGAAATAGTGTGTACCTCACTTAACTCTATCTTCTTTACTATTCACATTTATGTAGGAGAGGTGGGTGAGTAATCGACCATCCAACACTGATTTAAACAATTCTCTTACACTGCAATACCAAACATGTAATTTGCATTGTAAAGAGAAAGATAAAAAACAACTGAACAGTGTAGACAGAAACAAAATGATCCACGCACTGATTGATTGCTAATGCATCTCAATTTATGCGCCTAGTCAACTGAGACAGTAAACCATGAAATGAACAAAAGTGGTAACGGTCTGTGAATTACTGACAGACAAACAATATCAAGATAGGACTCGCTGTTACTGTGTAGCAGTCTAACTTGTCATACCTGATATGAGAACATCATGTTAGGAGATATCAAGAAGAAATATAGAGAAAGGCAGGGAAAGTCGTCAACAGAAAGCGGAGGGGAATGAGAGAATACTGAAGTTCGGTATGATGAATAAAACGAAAAGCATGTGTGGATACATGGCGCCAGAGAGGTCGATTATGAGGTATATCACCTAGAGCCTCCAACCAATTTTCTTTGGTCACGTAGACCTCAAATATGAAGTCTATGTTTCCCTACATGGCTCATACCAACAGTCAGAGACTTCATGAACTGACGCCACGTTTCGGTCTGGTCATCTTTACCAAACTTTTCTCAGCTTGTACCTAATTCAGGTAAATTGCTTGATGGGGCAGACACTGAACAACCATATATAACACATGTGCCAGGTATCTCTATTGCATCAAATACTGCCTGAATTTTACGTTGTTGACGTGGTAGTATCATGAGAAACAATCTATACTTTGAAGACAAAGCTTGTAGAACATCTGAAGTCACCTCATACCCTCCACCCTAAATGCCAATGAATCAAACCACGTGTTTGCAAAAATACGCAGTTCATGGTGAGAAACTGCACCATGGTTTGCGATAGAAATCGAAATATTTAGACCACATAATGATGTTAGGATTACGACTGCGAAGCGGCGTATAATATACTGACTAGAATACTCACTGATTAGTGGTACTCACTAGCTAGATCAATGTGATCTAAACACCGGGTAACTGTTTCACTATTGTGGGGAGGAGTTCTTCAGTGGAGTACTCACGTTGACTCAAATTGTTCAAACTACCAGAATTCTGGCTGGCTATTCGAGTGAGCTGGTCATACAAAAATTCAAAGTAGATGTTTACGCTGTCCACCGTGAGAAATTGTATCATGGTTCTAATGGCTATGTTTCACAGTCATATAGCAGAACAAAGAGAACCTCAGCGCAGTGCACTCCATCCTTAACAGTCAATCGCATAGCAGTGATGCCATAAGTGGCATAAGTTGGTGAAAAGCAAACGAGCCTTTTGAAAACATAGGAGACTATCTCTAAAAGCAGAGTTATGGTTCACTCCGAACTAGGAGTATGCGGTCATCAGTATTGTTTGTTTACACTGATAGTGCCTAGATGCGATCAGTGGTTCATTCATAGCTCTCTAGCTAACGGTGTTTTTCTAGGTTGAACTTGGAAGAAACTGGAACTGATTGGTTCCGAATATAGGTAGCTAGAAAGTTACCTACATTCGTCGTGGTAAGAGGTCAGATGCATAACCACGCTAAATCTCAGAAACAAAAGGACATGTCGCGAGAGCCTGTCACAAATTGTTAGAGACTGTGTATCTAGCTATGACGCATTGAAGAAGGTTTGAAAACCATGGACACAAGACGATCAAGACATATTAGGAGTGATTCTAAAGCTTACCTTAACGCCTACAGCCAATTCCATTGTTAGGTTGACCTTTAGAGCATTCCACAATGAGGTTCTCACTCCTACGGCCCAGCCAAAAAATCATGTACATCACAAATATCAATCATGAAGTACATAAAAAAACAGATGAACTCCCTGGTAAACCTTACTGTATTACTCCAGATCATATTTTAATGCTGTATCAAAGGCAAAACAGTGGTGTACTGCGGTTCACAATTCTGTAAAGAACCTACTTACTTACTGTAATAACCAACGTGCTTTTGAAGGATGACTAAGCGACAGTTTGGCAGCTGTGATTTGAACTCCGTGTTATCAACCTACCGATCGATTAACCGTGTCTAGTGTAGAAATAAAAATGTTTATGCGAGTCCCGATGATGCATTCCCTTTTCGAGTCACGTGTTGTCAACAAACTGAAAAGTTACCACCTAACAAACTTTAGACTCATTAGTTCACAATAACCCATGAGGATCACATTATCGGCATACAGTATGCACGATTAACTGCCTAATGTTATGTGACAACCATCGCATGGATGAGATTGTAATGAAAATAGGTAAACTTGGTCGGGATACTTGTAGGCGATAAATCATAAGCAGCAGTTGCTGGCCAGTCTACAGCAGAGACTTGATGAAAACTATGGGATTATGACGTAAAGATGAAGTTGTTTGAGAACGGAGATCGACGACTTTCGCTTGCCCATGTATTGGTAGACCTATATAAAAACGATCTCCACTAAATAAACTGAATTCCCATGCAGCAAGTCATTGATTCGAACCCACTCCACTAAGAGGTTTGTGCCGCCAGGAAATGTCATCGACCGTCACACAATAGGCCTGGTCCACACATCCCAATATGGTTGTTGAGTGCACATGTACTTTTCTAGTTTACCATCAAAAGGAAAAAACGGAGTCTCAAACAAAGCGCATCTCAATTTTTTTTAGTTAAGATACAATGTGTTACGTGTCTTCATCAAAACTATTAAATAAACAGTAAATGCTAAGTAATAATATTAAACAGTATAGGAAAATTAAGTGAAAGCTTACTGATCCGTCTCAAACGATCATACTCATCCCACTCGACAGGAGTAGCTGGTAATTTTTCATCTGGTCTTAATGGAATAGTTCCATGTACCCAACAATAATCCGCAAGATAGGCGTTAAAATTATCCCCCGTCGGCTTTACTGGGACATAACACGAGATTGAGCTCATAAAATATTGTTTTGTCGAGACAATAACACATGCCAAGAGGAAGAGGACAACTGTGAACAGATTTAAGCGGTCTGAGAAATCCTCAACAGCAACACGATTGCCATAACTATATTTCGAAAAGAAATCTATGAAATCTTTTGCCACCATACCGAGCCTACTGCTTCAATCGTGAGCTGAGGGTAGTGCGTGGACCTTTTAACTCAAGGTTATTATAGAAAATGCATGTAGTTGGCCAGACACATTTGACACAAACAATGACATGCGTGTGTAGATGAATCTGATTGGTTTAATAGGAAAAACAAGCTAGGCATTGGTTGACATAGTCTCCACAATTAAACTCTAAAAAACCACATCCATGATAAATTTGTGCATTGTGTCGAGAATCAATTTGTTATAAATATATTTCTAAGGCACAGAGGTAGTAAGCAGGTTAGACTTTGAACATGCATCATTCTGCACCACCAGGTTTCTTAAGCACAACTATGTTTCTGATTAGGACAGTTTTGAACAAAGACAAATTGAGAGAAGAAATATTTCTTTTCAGTTAGGTCTTCATCAACAGCTCTACTCTATAGGGTTCACATTTAATAACAATACCATTTAGAGATGGTCAATGACCTAAAATAGTTATAAATTAGTAGTTACTCATGAGGCTAACAATTAGAGGAATGAAGACGCAAACTGATGAATAGGGTAATCACATAAGATTGGTAGGAGTTTTAAATAAAACTGAACAGGTTTTAAATTCACTGATAGCTTAGCAACATGAAAGTTGGAAAAAACTTGCAGTTAGTGGATACATTAACATAGTTACATAATACCGAGACAGAAAATTAAGAAGATATAATATGCGTTGAAGACGAAGGAGCGTCCTTTGCTAATAAATTGTAGCCCATTGGACAAAAACTGAAATAAATAAGTTAGACGTTAGGTAATTATAAAGGTTGCACAAATTTCTTCTGAATACAAGGATTCGGTTTGTAGAGGTGTATGGTAACAGCAGGAGCATATACAGACTACGTCGAAGATTGAATGGTATATAATAAATAGATGTAGAAGTCTTGCTGATGTTCACTTTATGACCTGTACCCAATACATGTACAAGCACTGAGCTTTTTATTATTTCCCACTTGGCTTTTATTCAGCCTCACTGAATGATGTTCAGATATTCTACAATGAACTTCCTTAGTTAAATGTCTGACGTAGCTAGCACCATAGGAGCATTTAAACTGATAAATGCACATAGAACAGGTAGAATCAGGAAGTCTATCTTTATACCTGGGACCGATATTCGGCCTATTGGGGAAGATAGGATATAACTTTGTAGCACTGAAAGTTTTCTTAAAAACTCTTCTCAAACGTTGAGTCATAGTCTAGCTAACGATGTCACCTATGAACTCAAATGTTAAGAAAACTGGTTTTCTAGGAATTGTAATTGTCTTTGGTTTAGCTTTCGTCTCCTCCATGTGTTTGGTCACGAATTCATTAAAAATTCCCACCACAATTTAAAAGCCATTTGAATGAACAAAGAATATTCTATTAGATAATTTTTTCAGTTTCTACAGTTATATGAAAATATTGAGGAATTATGTGTCAACAATATTAGGATTTCGCTTATCAGTTTATCAATAATATTATCAAAAAGAATATTCTTTGTTCACTCAGATGACTTTATATCGATTCTTACTCAACAGGCTACTATAATGCTAAGGGTGTCATCATAGCAAATGACTTGACTTTTGGCGCGATGAACCGAGGGTTTTACTAGGTTTCGTGCGTAGCTGAGAGGTACACAGCTATAGAAGTGAATGGTCAGTCGATGTTGGATTTCTGTGTATACTCGGTTTTATCTTTCCATAACCTTTAATTTATAATTATTTTAGTTCATTAACTTACCACTTCTAAATGGTATTATGTTATTCAATATAAAGCCTACATAATATTAGTAAGAAACCAATGACGAAGACCTAATTGAAAAGAAATAGTAGAATGGGTATTCATTTCAAGACAATATTGTGAACCCGATACCGTTAATAATGATAACCCACTTCTCAGAGTCCTATAGAAAACATTTTCTCATTTGAAACAAGTCTCATGAAGTATATTAATGAACTGTTCGAAACAAGAAATTATTTTCATGGTTTGCAGTTCAAATTTAGTCTACTCGATTATTGTGTTCATAGTGGACTAATTTTTTGAAACATTTTGTAAGATATCCACATTCAGTGGCATTATATTTCAGGTCAATTATTTTAACAACTGCCTACGCTCGTTACTGAAGCTCAGATGGCCAGAAAAAATAAGCAACAAGGAACTCTGGCTGGTGGCGAATCAACCAAGAACCTATCGCTGAACAAATATGAAGAAGGAAGTGGAGATGGATTGGGCATGCACTGAGAAGACCGAGTGGGGACATCACGCGCCAGGCCAGGTCGTCGAGTGGAACCCCGATGGGAAGCGACGATTTGGGCGTCTGAGGCGAGGGTGACATGGGGAGATCGTGTGAGGAAGAAATGAGAGGTTGTGGGCTGTCGTGGAGCCAGGTTCAAAAGATTTCAGGTAACAGAGCGCATTGGAGACGTGCTAGTGAATCCCTATATTCCATTAGGAACCCAAGGAACAAATAATAATAATAATAATAATAATAATAATAATAATAATAATAATAATAATAATATCTTAATGTAAGAGCAAAACTTGGGTACTGTGGTACAATATAATTGCATGTTAAAGTGTTTATCTGATAACATCGCATAGCCTTAAAGCATTGTCTACTGGATTCAGTTACCAACATAATTTATTATCCACATACATATCACTCTGATATGAATGCATTCTTGACCCTTTCACTTTGTTGACTTTAAAATTCATGAAATATCTGCAATATGTGATGAAACAGTCATGTCCCATGTGCTGTGTTGATCTAATAAGTAAGGACTCTGTCATCAATCTCTCCTTCCTATTAGCTACATGGAATTACAAAACTGTCATCACAACCCACACTACAGTGTGATTATGAACCAGTGGATGGAGAACCATAGTAGGGTCTATCATTCTACATTTTGTCCCTTGATATTCTGATTCATCCTGATCGACTACTTTGCCCAGTGTACTTGACTTCACAATCATTACATGGTATTCAACAGATTCAACGACAACCAGGATGAAACATACGTCTTAAATCCCACCGCTAGACACCACCAAGCATATAACATCAAAATGAAATAAATATTATCAAAAAATTCTAACTGTTGGTGTGATCACGGACAATAATTTTTCTTGAAATAGTATCAAAGTAAAAACTCACCATTGTGTGTAAAATTTCCATTAAAAAATTACTTACGATACATTAATCCATTGCATAATGCACAATTTTTTCATTGATACATTAAAATGAAACTCGAGGCAATATAGAGGCATCCGTTCAGGGAAACCAATCACTAACAGAAACCGATTAATTCCGCTCAGTATTATAATCCAAGGGAAAGCATAGGTATCAATAATTTATAAATGATACTTGCTGAACAACAGGTGGCTGTCGTCATTCAGTAGAATGGTGGACAACACTCTAGAGTGTGAAGCGACAGGTGCCACCTTTGAGTCTCAGTGGGATCAACATTGCTCACTGGCATGAAGGTATTACAACTGACAAGTCTCAAACAGAAGAGAACGTGAGTCGCGGATTCCACTGCTAGATACCACCAAGTATGTAACTTCAAGAAATATTATGAGTCTAGGACGAAACAGCTATCCAGCGCTCCCAAGTTTCCAATGTTCCTCCAACTGATGTGAGTCCTCGATGAATACCAACATCAAAAATCTCTAAATCCCCACAAACCCCCAAATTCAGATAACAGTTTTACTAAAAGTTTCAACTTATAAAAGTTTTAAAATCAGATCCCTATAGCAGTTGTGTTTCTTGTTTACGCACTGCATGTTACAATCTGTTAAACAAAACAAAAAGACCTACTGAGTTTAGAGGTTTGAGGGGATTCATAGATTTCGAGGATGCTTTCATCACGGATTGACATGAGTTGAAAGTCTGCAAACATTGGAGAGCTATTTCATACTAGCTATCCGACTAATCAGCAGTGCACACCTGAAGGTTCAGCGCTCAGTCATTGGAGAGGCTGTAGATGCACCTTGACGAAAAGTTTCATACTTCGACAAAAAAGCTGACTAGTGAGAGTGGGTTTTCAATAGTTCTCCAACTCATGCTAATCTATAATGAATACCACAATCTAATAAGGCTGTATAATATACTAACTAATAATGACAGTGATAATAATAACAATAGCTCTACCCCAGACAATTCTCAGGATGTAGTACATTAACAACTTTACTCCTAAAACGATATTTTCAAACAGAATGAGTATTGCCTCTGAATGATATTCATAATTACAGCATCAAAGTAATAATGTGAAGCAGCCTGTTGGTGTTGGTTTAGCACCCAGTGTTTAGTGGTGGTGGTTTATTCAGCCAGTAGGAGAATATACTTTTTCAGATAGGTATCCAAAGGATAGAAATATGATTCATTTTTGTGCTTTGAAAAGTACTTTTCCATCTAACACGAAATTTTTCCTTCGTTTTGTTATTACTTCGAAAAACGACTGATTCAGAACACTTAAAAAATTCCCAAGGATAAGTTATATGTTTGCAGAGTAAAACCAACTGAAAAGGGAGGAATTTGATACGGTATACCTGGTGGGAAATTTCATTGGTGGCCTGAAGTTCAAGAAGGTTGCCTGTGATAAATGTTTGAGGCATAGGATTTGAAAAGTGACTGGAATACAAACTTACGACCGTACGATGATAGAATTTTTGGAAGCATAAAATCAGAGGAATTTTTAGAATGTGTCGTATTACTTATACGAAATTAAGTAGTTAAAATCTTACTCAAAAAAAGTAAAATGGTTATCAGTATGCGCCTAAGTTCTTGCATTAAAACGCAAGTTGATTTGTAACCCAAAAAGGAATCTGAACCTAGGGTGCAGCTTACTACAGACGTTTATCAAAAGAGACTAGTCTTATGAAATTTTTCGCAGATGTCAAAAGTCCTAATTCACGAAAAAACACTACATGAAATAAAAAGGTTTGAAAAGAGCAAGGACAGCAACGTCGGTAGGATACAATTGAACCAATTTATTTCGCGGACGTCTCGTCAACCGCTTACACCACACAATATCAAAATATATAGTCTTACTGGGCATTTAACATACTTCACTTCACTGAATGAAAACAAAATATCAGTCAGTCGTCAAGATGGACAAAAGTAGCTATGGAGAGTAGAAGTGAAAGATAACGGCAAATTTAAGGGAAGTTAATAAATGGTAACAAACTGTCACAATTGTATACATGGTCCATTGGAGATTTCTCGAATGAAAATAACGACAGAGGTAGTACTCCAAATAAAGGGACTTGATATTACGTAAGTGAATTGTACGACAAATAAGCGAAATACTGTGAGCTCAGGTCAGTTAGTTCAAAGCATTCGATATGAACAACAGATGGTACAACGAAATAAGAGTAAGCATCACAAATATGTTAAAAGAACTTCTGATGCGGAAATTGATTGGCATTCCTACTTATAATTGTCTGAAGCCCCAAGAGTTTCATCT